CGATGCGCTCCAACTAGCTCCATCGGTGAGTTAGCTTGAACAGGAAGAGCCAGAACGTGCTGCTCACCAGGTGAATTTAGCTTTGGCTTTACTCTGCAATACTCCACCTCAACTGCGGATACCATTTTAAAACTATTGATCCATCACACGAAAACCTCACATACCTCAGAGCCTTCTGATTGAGCATAGAATCTGAGTAAATCCGAATGAGTGCAGAGATTTGCGAGAAGGTGTCATGCGCTTCAAGCGAAGTATTAGCCCGTCGTAACCTCACTGACGGCCTTCGATTATCAGCAACCTTCTATAATTGAAGCTCAATTGAAGGAAAACCATGATAGAACACTGATTCAGAAGCATACTTATGACCGAGTGGCCAGAACACTCAAGTGATACACAGTAAGTTACTTACTTCACCTGAACGGCGGCAGCCCTGCTCATCAACGTAGAAGGCTCTCTCAGAAGCTGGTGTCATCCAACACAAAGGCATCGGCGCATTTGGATCCTCCTTACAGCTGTCATACATTTCTCCATAACACAAAAGTTCATAATTATTGTCTACGCTATTATATCTGCAAAGGATTGGATCATATACTTTCTGAAGGGATGAAATGAAGGCATAGTCACTAATTACATCATGTTTCGTCGAGCGGCAACCTTTGACGATAAGCCTCCCTCCCAAATTTGTTCCATAGAGAAAACATCATCGATGTCGAAGGTTTCAGATACCTTTCTCTGAAAAATGGTCAGATCAAGAAAGGTATGCGACCACAACATAGACATAAGAATGTGAACTGAAAACAGGAATGAATCAATAAGTGCGTTTCTCGTAAAAATACTGGAAAAATGTTGAAAAAAAAGATACTTTATAACTTACGCGGAATGGATCAAATCCAAGCTCGTGAACGTTGCACCGCAGTATTCTTTGTGAATCTCGAAAATGAAGTAGTAATTCATACGGCATATATGGATTCCATCGCAAAGTATTTAGCCCGTTGAACCCGTCCTTCAATAATAGGCATACAGAGAAATCTTCGAGTTTTCAAGAAAATTCCAGGATAGACGCGAGTTTTGCCTCCATACACAAAATTGTTGTGAATTCCAAGTACATAATAACTCCAAACATTTAGGAATCACATAAAAACAAGATCGGATTCCATACTTACTAAGTGGACTTTGATCTGTTGAATAGGTCCAAAAAGTTGCCTGCTGTCATAGATATGTATCTCGTCATCGTTAAATCCAGCGAAGATATGAGTTCTGCATTAAAAATAAGTGAAAATCAAATTCCAACAGGGCTTGAATACAAATGAAGTAGCATGGGGAATGTAAGACATACCTGTATCTGTTACTTGCCATGTGTGTCACACCTCGATTAAGGAACAGAGCTTGGTCAGTTCGATTGGGACAGCGAATATCAAATAATCGTATGCTATCAGACGTGGATAACAACAAGTGAGCTGGATGGTCCCTGAAAAAAACTAAGTAGCTAAGATGTTTCAGTGGTCACTGGAAAATGATATCAGCCGATGAAGAAAAGTAGTAGGAAAAAAAANAAAAAAAACAAAAACAACTTACTGCCGCTAAATAAATCAACTCAAATGATGGGTGAAAGTAGCTTACCAAAGCCAACAGACGTCCAACATATTGGAGTGCGTGCTGGCGTTAAATACATTACGAGGTTCGATTGAGGTTTTACTTTGACTGATGAGATCTAGTACAAGTAAAGAGCACTGCGCGGAAACACTCCTGTAAAGCAAAGAAATGAAAGGTTGTTACTCAATTCATAAAGTAAACAGAACATACTGGAAGTCCGTAGCTGCTAGCAAAGAGTTATCTAACTGGTTTATTCTGGTCGCTACCACAGGATGCTCTCCTCGCAAGATTTCATGAGAAGTTAAGCTGAACGTAGAGAATATTAGTAATTACTTACGAAGTTACTTGCTTAGCGACGAGTGTTCAAAGAATTCAAAAACACAAAAGTAGTCCTAAAACCGCTATGATGGATAGATTCTACGGAAAGATTACAGGCTTACTAATTTCCATGGAAATGACCACAGAATCAATAAAGAAAATAAATGTGAAACAAACAATCATCACCTCCACTGCCTTGTTTTGCACGTATCACTTTCCTATCCTTCACATACGTTACTTTTTACCACAACTACTTTACTGATTACTAATACAACTTTTCCTATGAAGCAAGTAATGAGCCCTCTCGTTTTTTTTNTTTTTTTTAACATTCAAGCTTCAAGGAAACAGCTAACATCGTGAAGCCAACAGAATCCGTGGAAAGGGGATGCGGCCAGAGATTTCTCCGACTACCCCAATGCAACTAGAAAACAAAGTAGACTAACTTCTCGATACCCGGTGTACATTGTGCCCGAACGATGGCGATTCTACCATGAAATGTGCCATAAACAGAAAATGGAGTCCGATCGACAACATCCCTGGCTGTGATCCGATGACGTGATAATCCATCAGTTAAATCCAATGCCTCAATTTTATCGTGCACGTGGCGCGGCATATTAGGGTGAAGAATGTGGTGAAGCTGAAAAATTATGAATACACTGTAAAAATGTTTTCAGAAATGACCCACGAACCTCAATCCTCCCTTTGGCATTTGCTGTGAATACCTCAACAACTCTTTCACTAACGTAACGAATTTGGGGCGTGACAGGAAAAAATCTGAAATATACAGGAACTTAGAAGCTCAGAAAAAAATGAGCCTTTTGATAACTTGTTATTGCTTGTGAAAAACAGTAGACAAACAACAAAAACAAAAATAAAACGAAACATATGAAGGTAAACTCACAATTTAGGAGGGCAAATGAGTCGTGAACGAAACGATTGCAAATTCTCGCTGCTTTCCATCGAATAACATCGGGTTTTGTAGCATGGCATAGTACTGTAATTGACAACAACTTCATGTGATCAAACCGTGAAACTGTATGCTTCAAAGAATGAGATCAGTCAAGACTCACCAGTTATCAGCAGTGCATCCCCCGGGATCAGAATGGCGAGCGACATTGTACTTGATTCTGCCCAGCGGGCGGTTGTTATCAGTGTACAGTGAGGTACTGAACTTTGTTATTAAGCAAAACTACTTACAATTACTTTCTAGAGAAAACCTCCCAACGCAAAACTTGAAGAATGGCTAAATGCAAGCCTAGCACTACAAATTGCATAATTGCCCTTACTGGTAATTTGAGTTGCTAAAGGCTGTTTTGTATTCGTAGAAGCTGGAACCGATCCACGGCAACATTAGTAAAACCTCAGTATTGTTGAGAAATCGTTGTTCAATATAAAGAGAAGAAAAACCCAAAAAAAGTTCGTGAAAAGCCAAAAAAAACAAGAAAGAAATATGGAAAACAATGAGAAAACAAAAAAAATTCACCTCGCAAAAGCACTATTCTCCCCTTCAAAATCTTCGTCATCGACGTTTTCTTCTAAAGACACTCCTGTAGACTGTCGTCCTATTGATGTACGACTGGAAGGGCGAACCTCTTCTTCCATCTGTAAACATGTTGATGCCTTTAGAAAAGTCAAATACTAGGAGGGCGTTAAAGGGTCTGAGAACATTGTGTGGACGCAAAATCACTGTAAAGTTATTAGTATACTATCTACTAAGGAAATACTCTACTGAACGGCTGTATGTAACAATATTATGCAGCCGTATTTCAAAAAAGAGTTTTTATTGAGGAAAAATGCTACACGTGAATCCTGACAAGCAATTGATTGAATACTGAAGCAAGACGACTTGAGGAAGGATTAGCAGGGAATAGGAGCAGCAGAATTCACACTTCGCTCATCTGGGACAGCAAATCACATGTGGGAAGCATATTACGATATAATTTTTGAATGATGCTTTGTAAAGCGCATTAAATATGTGTGATAGCAATTTCTGCTTACGGTATCGCAGCAAGTACGCGAGTTCGCGTTGTTGGGATTGTGCCAGAGGGAAGAAATAGTGATTGAAATGCGCTCGGTGAAGTTAAGGTTAATGAGAACAATGAAACATAATTGCTACTACATCAGATACAGCAGAAGTACTGCGGCTCCTGCTAATCTGTGATACACCACAATTGTAAAGGGTCTGGACCAGCTTTCAGATAGTTGTCCTTACGCTGTGGATGGAGCTCTCACTACTTCCTTTGAATGTATCGGACGAAGCATTTCACAAATTATTTTGTCTACTAACCCCAAACCACTGATGAGCCTCAAGGGAAGGTGGGAATGGTGGTTCGTCTTGTGAAGAGGCGAAAACGAGCCATCTTTGCTCTGTTTTGATTACTGTCACTTCGTTACTTGTTTTCATATGGTTAGTCAAGCTCTATTGCTTCCAATTGGTTACAGTTTACTTGTTATAATGGCAGAGACTTTGATGCAGTTTAGTACGTTACAAGCTCAGAAGAAATAGTGGAGCATAATTGTTTAATCTGTCATAGTGTACTACTTCATGTTTGGACTTACCAGTAGGGCCCAAAAACTACCACGATGCGGTACGATTTCGTGGTCTCATTGAAGTCCAGAGGTGGCTTTGTATTACTGCTGTACCGGTTATCGGTGAAAATGTATGCAGAAAGGAGGAGATGGGGTTGAACACCTGCCGTTAGAGGGTTTATACCAACGACTTACTAGCGTATGATCGTCTGCCCTCTCCCGGTTAGAGAGTATTCTACTCGTTTTTCGGTACTATTCTACTATTACACCCCCAGAACTATTCTACTGTTACACCCCCAAAAACTCAAAATTTTAATTTTCGATGAAACTTCGCCTATAGGGGTAATCCGATGTCCTGATAACGAATATGACCTTCATTTTTGGCGTTGGCGCCATTTGGCTCCAATTGGCGCCAATTTGGCGCCAAATTGGCGCCAATTGGAGCCAAATGGCG